AGTGACATCACCTCAATTTTTTATTATCCTTAAAATATTTCATTTTTCATATTCTTTATTTATAAAGGAACAATGCTGCTGTAAATACAGGTATTTTTTGTTTTTTATTTCATTCCATCACCATGAGATGCAGTTCCCTATTTGTTGAAGGGGTATATAAGCTTTCTAATGGTGTCTTCAGAAATTTATAAAATGTAAATACTGATTTTGATGGTCCTTAAGATGTGTTTAACTGTGAGACTATTTAACTAATGGTGTGGATGTGATTCGTCATCCAGTATTAAGTTCTTAGTCACTGATTTTGTGTACAAAATAGGAAAGAGGGAAACTGCAGCTTTTCATTACAAATTCCTTGAATTGCCAGCTCTCTTTGAGTTTTAGCAAACTCTAATTATGCCTCTGGATAGTACATCATGCATTTCTCTCTGGCTTTAATTTGCTAAAGCTGTGCACATATGTAAAAAAATAGATTATTTTAGGGGAGATGTAGTTCTAGAATTATTGCTTATGTCATTTCTTAAGCAGTTATGCTCTTAATGCTTAAAAGAAGGCTAGCATTGTTTGCACAAAAAGTTGGTGATCCCCCCAAAAATAGTAATGAAATTACTTCTGTTCAGTAAACTTTGTATGTCATGTCAATTTATAATAAAAGCTGAAAAAATCCCCTTGTTTCTATTTATAAAGATGCCTTTTCTATTTGTACCTTTAAAGATGCCATGTAGGTTGGTTAAAAAGAATTTGAATGGTACAGTAGATGTAAAAACAAAAGAAAACCCTCCCCCCCAAAAAAAATCCCTAAAACGAGTTCAGCTGTTTAAATGAACCATTGTTTTTCATTAAATGTTTTGTTTGAAATAAGCTTTTGTACATGAAGTTCAGTGATACAAAATCTGCCATGATGGGTGTCCAGTCATTACATGTGCAGAGACCTCAAGCAGCAAAACTCTCTTCTGCATGATGTAAAATTTGTGTTCTCCTTTGCCAGATTGCTACAGCTCTACTTAAGGTATCTCCATAATTTCCAGTGTTTTAACCAGATTATAGTAACTTTCATTCTTCTTTCTTGGGGTAGAATTTAAATACCTGAGATGGGTATAAGTGCTTTACTGTGCTGAACTTTCATTTATAGAAGTGCAAATGAAACATTGCTTGTGTTGTCAGTTAGAGAACTAAGATTTGTGTTGTTTTTACATGAAAGTGGTTAATTTTTCAGACATTTTACAAAGTATTTGGCTTATATGGAGTAAAGTTTAAATAGGTGTCGGTTAAATCCCATTTCTCTGGGCCTGCAGAGGATGGATGCTCCAGATACTGTGGGACAAGTCAGGAACTGCATTGCTTGGCCAAGTGGTGACTGGAATGGGAGTCACTGAGAACCTTTTTCCATGTTAGGACTCAGGTCCTGAAATGCAGGTTGTGCCAGCTGGGCTCTGCAGACTGGACCTCGGGCTGCTGTTGGGCAGTGTGTTCCCTCTAATCTCCTAATCTGGCCTTCAGTGTGCTCATGGCAGGTTTTAGTATTTTGTACTTGGTGATCACAATAGGTTTGTGAACCCCAACCTGGAACCTAATATGATTTGAATATTTAATTCAGTGTATTAAATACTATATTCAGAAGTGGCAGATGAATTGCTAACCTTCAGTGTACATTGCATGGAGTGTGTCTTGGATGTAGCCCTTGAATTATGAGGGATGGGGTAAAGATTCACTGTCTAGAATGAAGCAGTTGCCCATGATTTGAACTGTTGTGATTATTTATCTAATCAACAACACAGAACTCCCAAACCACACAATCCCTCAAACCAGAAATATGATTTTACCTTTGGCAATACAGGAGCCATTCTGTGAAGGCAACTTTGACAGTGTTGTTCCAAGTATTTCTTCATTCACAGAAGTCTGGTGCCATCATCAGTAAGCGGAGGCGTTCCCTGTTACAAATCTCTGGTTTCACATCCAAGAAAACCAAGACACTGGAGTAGGTAAGTCCTTCCCTGACTCTGACCTGCAGTTTTTAGGCTGTTCAATTTGAGAGCAAAGTTGCAGCAGTGGAGGAGAAACACTTGGCATCTTGTCATGAAGAAAGCTCATGTGAATGGAGTATTTATGAGAGAAAGCTGCCAAGTCAGCAACTTCACTTACTGGTTTCACAAGCTGTTTTTCCTTTAAAAGAGACCAAAGAACTGGAACAGGCTCCAGGTAAAGCAGAACTAAGGGAATGAAGTAAAGCTGTGTGTTAGTCCAACAGGAACTTTATTTGAGGGTGATTAAATACCCCTGCTGCTGGCCAAAAATTACAGATGTGTAAGAGTTGCACCATGGAATGCACAGTAAGAGATGGGAACAGTAAAATTGAGTTGTCTAATCAGCTGTGATGGAATATTGAGGGAAATAGCTCATAGATTCTATAACAAATTTTATTAGACAGGAAAAAATACTTTTCTAAGAGATGTCAGTTAAAATTTGGAACTGAAGGTAAGTGCACAGGTGGGAAAACTGGAAAAAAAAATTGTGTGGGGCTTCTGAGAGACAGAAGATGAAATAAATGGGGAGAAGCTCTTAAAGATGGCTGCAGTGCTCTAGAAAACATTTTCTTACATTGTTAGAATGCTGTGGTGCTCAGCTTTATGCCCCAATAAATAATTTTCTAGACCACACACAGTTGAGGGATAAAACTTTTATTTAAAAAAAAATTCAAATTTCTCTTGACACATAAGTCTTAGTTGAGGTAAGTGAATGTACTAGCTTAGGAAAACAACTTTGAGGATTGGGTTTCATAAGCCATTAACACTCTGTTGCTTGCAGGGCTCCAAGAGCTAGAGGTGCAAATTGTACAGGAAGTGTCAAGTTTTCCATCCAGCTGAACTCTGCTGCGGAAGAACAGAATTTACACCTTTTAGTTCAAGCCTCTTCCGCTTCTTTGCATCCTTTGTTCCTTTAGTGCTCGGGTTTCTTGCCCTGAGACTCCTCACTCCTCTCCTGTTCACAAGGTGCAGCTCCAAGAGGTGGCCTCAAAGTACCTCATTTGCAATTTGGACAGCGAGGCTTGTGCCAAGTTCAAATAAAAAGCAAAACCACCACAATAACAACAAAAGAACCATTGGCAAACTGCCCTCATTCAACACCCAGCTAAAGCCTGAAGGCAGGAAAACTTCTCTTGCCTTCCCCAGCTCTCCCAGGCAGCAGTAGGGGCCTCTCATGGCCCTTCACAGTCACCTTCAGCTGCTCTTCTGTATATCCTGAACAACCTGACAAGGTATTGCCACCTCTGGAAGTACCTGAATTCAAGGTTTAAGCTTTATTTTCTAATATGTAAGTAAATATCCTGCAGAATCTACAGTCTGACCAGCCCTTGCAAAAGCAGATGAAAAGGTACCTGAGCCATTGGTACCTCAGAAGTGTGGATATTCACAATTTCAGTTTCCATATGGTAAAAGTACTAAGTTACAACTAGTACCTGATACCTGAAGTGTGTAAGTAGAATTGCCAGCACTATTACATGGAGCAAGATTTAAGTCAGCTGCTATCTGGAGTGGTAGCCTGACCCTCTGAGCAGGACTGACACTTTCATCTACTGAATCTTTTTGTAAAAGTACTGAAAACACTCTTCACAGGAGAACTGAAGTAACATTGAAAGCACAGGATAAGCCAGTATTCTCTTTTTCCCTAAAACTGAACTAGTGAAGCTTTCAAAACTAAGAGTACTGCAGGCCCTTTGTTGCTAACAGTGGATGATCTGACCTGTGGCAGTTCAGTCTTCCTCACTTCATGTCTTCCAGCCAATTCCAACCTAACTGCTTTGTGCAGGTTCTTTGCACTCATCTAAATCCACACATATTTTTTTATTCTTGTAAATGCTATAAATACCAACAGCCATATGGTAGCATAGAGGGCTAATGTAGCACATTGCCACTTGAAGGAAAGGCAGTAAGTATGATTGTCTAGGCTTTATAAAAATAGGGCTATTCTAACATGATAAAATATATTTCATTTTAATTGAACTTGAGGTAAGAAGCCCCCCAATGAGTGTTACTTCTAAATATTCTTTAAATCCAGTAGCATTGCAATCTTTTGACCAGGAATAGGCTCTGAGACTGAGCTTATCCATCTTAGCTGCTCCTTAGAGTTAAAATGTGTAACTTCTGAATTCCAAGTTATTTAATTCACACTATTATTTATCCCATCCTGCTCTATGGAGGAGACAGCTTAATTACCACCATCTCTTCAATTCTGACTGCCTGCCTCAGGTTAAATCTGCCTGAAGCCCACCCAAAGCCCATCTCCCTTACTCCAGGTGGAGCTCCAGCAGCAGCTGCAGTGCTTGGGCCATCCACCTGCGCTGACTGCCCAGTGTCCCCAGGCAGAATTTGGGATTGCCAGGATTCCTGCACATCACAACAGCACTTGTGTTGCCAGACAGTAAGAGAAGGTTGTCTCTGTGTGTTAGGAGGGCTCTGAGGAATCACAGCTGCCAATCCACAGGTTGAGCTCAGGTACCAAATCACTGAGACTTGCTCTGACACAGGCTGTGTGTAAATTGTAACCAGGGAAGACATTCAGAGAGGCTCAGGATAACATCCTGCTCTGGCTGTTGGTCTGCTTGAGGCAGCCGTGCATGGCCAATGTAAGCATCACCATGCAGCTACCCTAGAAAACATATTCCAAGTGACAACACAGAAAACAGTTCAAGAAGCATGGAAATAAGGCACTTAAGTGAGACAGTAACAGGCTGGCTCCCTCTGAGCCCCAGGCTGGCTCAGATGTCCCTGCTGCGGAGGGATGAACAGTACCGTGCGCGGAGGAAGCCCCGCTGCCCGCTCAGACTCCTAAGGCAGCATCGTGCACAAGGAAGCATAGCAGGACCTCACTGCTCTAAATACTGTGCTCTGAGTGGTATAAATACAACTTTGGTCCATTACCACCCCTAAAATGCTTACTTCACAGAGCAGCAGCCTGAAGCAAAGTTAATTCTACACAACGCGCGTACCCTGAGACGAGTACAATGAAATACTGACAAAAATCAAGTCTAGAGGAAAAAAAGGAAAGGTCTGATGGACTGCTTAAATTAATTTGCCTACACAAATGCTTGTTTCTAGCTTTTTTCAGAGTAACAAATCCAATGTTTCACAATTATTATTTAAATGAATCCAGTACAAAGTACAATATAGTGGAGTTCAAGTACTATAAAGGCAGGGGTTTGTTACCAGATTGTTGTCAAACAGCTGGAAACTCAGCTTTTAACATTACACTTTACAGCAAAACCAAAAAATCCCTTTACTCACTGCTAGAAGACCAAAACCTTCCAGCCTGGGTATGAAAATGAACATCCAAAATACAAAGAGCCACAGCACTGATCAAGTACCCAGTCAAAAACCACTTCTCTGTTGTTAGAGCTGATGGTTACTCGAAGCTTGAAGTTTCCTCCCTCGTTGCTGCAGGGTCCCAACTGCACAACTTCCATGTCAAATGTCACAGTCGAGCCAGAAGTAACAGCAGGCAACTGGTTTGTCATCTCTTTTCCATTTACAAATACTGCCCCTGAAACAGTCAGCATATCTAACAATATTTCTCATTTTCTGTACATACTAATGTGCAAGACCACATCTCTATTTTTTGCAGGCACATAGGGAAGAAACCCTGCTGCATTTCTCTTGTCACATGGAAGAGGTTGCAATAAGTGCAAGCAGGAAGAGGAGATCTGTGATCTCACCAAAGATTTAACTGCACGAGCAGCACATACATGAAAGTTGCTCGTATGTAATGCAGGGATCTAAAGAGCCAGGGGCTGTGGGTTTTGGGAAGGAATTCCAAATTGAACAAATGGTTCAGACTCACCATTTGTGCTGACACACACGGCTTTGTCCCGTTGCAGGGAGTCGTCGCCGTTGCGCTGCTCCACGCACACTCCCAGGCTGTCCCGGCGGTCTGGCTGTCCCACGGTCTCAATTCTAACAGCAAAAAGGTAAGTCAAAACCTGAAGCTTTAAATTAAAACATACCATGAACTCCAGACCCCTGCACTGTGCTCCAGGGCTCTCAACAAATTCATCCAAACTTTTGGGGAAATCCCTGCTGAATGACCAAAATTCCTGTGAGAGCTCCACTGAGCAATAGTCTATTAATCTGAAGAAAATACGAAGTAGACCTTTGCTTCCTGCAAAATTCCAGTGTTATTTAATGCAATTCTCCACTGTCACAGCTCTGAAGAAAATGCAAACAAGTTGTGCAAGTGACCAGGGACTCATTTCCCTTTGGGCCCCAGCAGAGGAGTGAGGCTGCACAGTTTGTACACTGAAGGGCTGTTCTGGACTTGAGTCCTTTCTCTAGTCCTGCCACCACTCAAAGGTGCTAAATCCTACTTTACAGAGAGCCTGAGTGACTCAGGAAATTCAGGTGGTCTTTTCTAGAAAGAAAAGCAGTTGTTATTTTCATTGCAGCTTGAGAGAAAAAACTGATCCATGGTTGTTGGCAAACAAAGGAAAACTTCAGCAAAACTTTCAAGAACAACAATTAAATGGGGCAGTAGACTGGCACATAATGAGTTAACTCTTCAGAAACAAAAATAAAATTGGAACCATATTTTACTTTTGCACTATTAGGTTTTTCAATCTCCTGGGAATGCCACTAAGAGAGCCTCACACTGTAAAGCAAAGGGAAAACTATTATTTGAATCTCCAAGAAGCTTTTACTTTGGAAGAGATCCACCATGCTTTCCCAAAGCAACTCTAAAGGAGATTTCAAATTCATTTTGGTGCACAACAAAACCTTGTCTCTGCAGCCCAGACACAGAACTTGGTCAAGCACCACCAGTTTCCATTTGCCTCAGCACACAGACAGTTCCATCCGTGGGGTAGCACAGGAGCTGCCTCAGCTTGTCAGCAGGGCTGTGCTGGGCTCCTGGCAAAGTCAGTGTGGCCACCACAGTGCAGCTCCTGGGTGACCCCAAATCACAAGCCTGGCCACAAGGACTGTGGCCCCCACAGCAAACAAAGCTTTAGAGAGATAGATGAAGAGCTGGTCACTGTGGAGAAATGTTCCCTTCACTAAGGGAAGCTCCCTGGAGGCTGCAAGGAAACAGGAGACTTGACCTAGAGCAGTGATGTTTTCCTACAGCTTGGCCAAATGCTTCACCTCAGGACAACTGCCACAGTTTATCTTTAAAATGTAGATACAAAGCACTGTGTTTATCACAGCTTCACTGCTCGCTGACAAGCTGTGCCTGGGCCCTAAACACAGAGAACACAGAGCTGCTTGTGAATAATAACTTGTGTTCCAACAGCTGGAGAAAGTCAAGCACCAAGTAGTACATGTCCCAGCTCAGGAAAATCTCTCACACTTCCAAACCAGAAGCTACTCTTGGACCTTGGAAGAGGAACAAAACCAATTTTTGAGGTTGTTTTCAACCTCAAGATTTGTGTCACAATAGTTCTTGTGGACACATGGTTTTTCTAGCTCTGCCATTCTGAAACAATCTCCTCTTGGAGAGAAGTCCATAACCAAAATGTGAAGCAAAACATTTTCATATGCTACCAATAAAAAAACTATAAAAACACTGGACTGAGAGAGAACCAAGGGAAGCCTCAAGGTTCTGCCTTTAATTTCACAGGCATTGCTGAGCCAAGAGAAGTTAAATCTAGCAATAGATTTCAAATGAAAGCTTTAGATCTTTTTATCCATCTCAGACAGGGCAACTGAATACATCCTACAGCCATCTAAAGTTAACATGATCTGTTACCAGGAAGGGATAAATGAAACACCATGGAATAAGTAATCAAAGTACCATGAACAGCCCTCTTTAATTGTCTTTGGGGGCTGCCTGCTGTACAGCAAGTAGTTTTATTTAACCAGGGAAAAGATGAAACAAAGCTTTAGAGTCTCTGAGGTCTGTAATCACAACTGACATATCCACAAGGACATTCCTCATACCCTGTTAAACAGCATCATCTCAGGGATAGGATGACAGGCAGCAAAGCTGCCAAGCTTTTTAATCATGTTCTGTATCAAATGGAAAGCCTGAAATTCACAAGATCCCTTTTCCCCTCTGGATCTTCTAATGCCAGTTTCAAGCAGTCTGACCAGCAGTAATTATCTCACATGTTAAATGCATTGCTGCCAGACTGTCATGCCACAGAACATCAGTGTTGTCATGTCCAGAGTCCTCAGAGCCAGTGAATAGTCTGGGAAGGAAAGCACACCCTGACCCAAGGTTAAAAGGAACTAGAGGCAAAGCTCCACTGACTTCAGCCAGTAACAGCTGCTACAATATACCAGCAACTTCAACATTCCATAGATCTCCTCAGCATGAGCTATATCTTACCATCCCTCAGGAGTTCACTCACCTTTCTTTTTATGTAAGTGTAGGTCCTGCAATAACATCAGGTGCTTTCCTACAAAGCCAGAAAGCTGAACTAAAGGAAGGTCAGATGTCAGAGACACTACCTGACTGGAGCTGAGCTAAAACTCAAAAAGGTTTACACACAATTCAGATGTGACAGCTCACAGGGGATGCACCAGGCACCCAAAAAAAGACTTGCCTGAATGTTAATGTTTGCCCACAGAAATAAGTAGGAGCTTTGGAGTAGAGCACACCACACGACTGGGAATCATTCCGAAGCGCTATGTTTCTTCGGCTGCTCAAGCTGTAACCCTCCAGACCAGCTGTCCATTCTTCAAAGGAAACAAACAAAAAAAACAAGAAAATTGTGAACCTCAACTTCATCCTGTCTGTGCAAAACCAAGCCAGTCCCAATGTCTACTCAATTCACCTCATGCAGCTTAAGCTATATTAAGAACAGAGGCTGTTTTTGCCTTTTTCTTATGGAGTGATTTGTTTTTCAAATAAATTACAATTACAAAAAGTATTTTCCAGCTCAGAGTTCACCAGGAGTTCACTCTTTGCTGCAATCCCTGCCAAGTCTTATTGTAGGAAAAGGAAAGCCTTCATTACCCATTGCACTTAGAAATTTCTAAGCAAAGAGAAAATTAAAGTTTTCCTCTCTCCAAGATAAGAGCTTGTTAAGAGCTGTAGGTCATGAAAAACGCTTACATTGTGGTGAGGGAGAAGAAAAAATCATGTTTCCCAAGGCTAAGGAAGCAGTGAGCCACCTGTGACAGGTTCACAGAGTGTCCCTCAGCCAAGGAAGCCAAGAATGAATTGTAGAATGGAGGGACAGCTCATCACACATCACACACACCCCCCAAAGCCAGAGCCAGCCCCATCACACAGGCAGCAGCTCCAGCCAGCTGCAGCCCCACAGCAGGTAAGGGTGAGCGGTACCGTGGGGGACCAGCGTGGTGCGGCCGATCTGGGGGACGCTCCAGGGGCTCCACTCCTGCCGCCCGTCCCCGCGGGCGCACACCCGGAACTGGTAATCCACGTTGGGGTCGATGTGCAGCACGATGAACTCCGTCTCTGAGCCCACGTACACATCCTCAAAGTGGCTGGCGGTGCTCTTGCGGTACTGCAGCCGGTAGTCCTGGGGTATGAAATCATCGTCCACCTGCAGAAACATTTACTGCGTCAAAAAGGACCCCTCTGCTTCTCCCTTCCCCTCTGAAGGGGCACATGGCAGCACAGCACTGCAGGTGATCAGACTCAAGGTATTTCAGAGCAGAAAATGTGCCTTCTAGGAAGTAACATCAGTATCTGAACCAACAGAAAGATGTATCAAAATTATTTTATTACAGTTAGAAAATATCTACAGAAGAAGAAACATTTAACAGAAGGCTGTTCATTCTAGCAGAGATATAAAAATATCCTTCAGCCAAAAGCTGAAAACAACTTTGCAGAAGAAATTCTATGCCAATTTTTAACAGCAAGGGAAAATTAGTGTTGTCCTTCATAAACTATTCCAAGGAATAATTTCCAGTTCTTTGATATCCGAGTCAAAAGATATTTACACACACACCCCCTCAAAAAAACCCCTGCATTATCCCCCAGGCACAACCAAATTCAGGGAACTCCTGTGTAGCACAGAATATTAGACCCCACCTGACAGCAGTGCCTATGGTTTAATAATCTGAGTCCACATCCTTTACAAGTGAAGGGTGGCCAACAAATGGCTGTTGCTAGAACAACAAAGGTTTGTTTGATGCTGCCAAGGACCACAGAGCTGTCCAACAGCAACTAAACCACATCAGACCACAGCAGTGGTTTACTCAAAAATAGTTTTTGTGTATTGAAGAGAAAGGCTACTGAACTAGCTAATATAATAATATTTTCTTTTTTTACCCACTGCATTTCCCTAGGAACACAAATGTATTTAGGGGTAAAAGCATAACAGAGCAAGTCCATCCTGGGTCTGCTAAACCAAGTGTCACTGCAAGCATAAACCTCAGCACCAACCACAAAAGATTAGATGGTACACCATCACTGGACTACCTTGTCTTTAAATGACACCATTACAAAAAAAACAAAACAACACTTCTCAAGTTTTTAACTCCACACTGGAGTGGACCAGTCCTTGAAAAGCAGTAGAGAAATCAGAAAAAAAGTGGCTTGTTTGGGTTCTTTTAGAAAAAAACTCAAGTCTAAAGGATTTTCTCACAGGATGTTTTACCTACCTTACACCATCGGACTAAAATACCTCCAGGCTTTTCCACAAATTCCTCCAGCTGTACAGGTGGGCGGGATGCCACAGTTCCATGTCTGAATATTTGATTTTTCAATATGGTAAGGAGGCAGTCATCCAGTTGGGCAGATAAACAAGGCACATCAACCAAGGAGGGCACTTCTGGCAAGCTGAGAAAGGAAAGTCTGCTGTAATGAGAGTGGCCAGCTTCTACAAATTCCTGTTTCATCCATATACTTGAATCTGTGCAGATTTGCAAAGAGAGAACAGCTGCAGAAATTGGCACGTGCACTCCAAACTTAAAAGACTCAAAAAACATTGTGCTTCAGCCCTAACCAGACTGTTTGTCAGCAAATACTCTGAAACACAGCCTGTTCTACAGGGAGTGGCTTCATCCTTCACAAATAAACAGCCTATATTCCCACAGAACATATGGAGGGTGAAAACCCCCTCCATTCTGTGAGTGCCAGCCCCAATCAGTCTGTGAAACAAAAGGACAGCAGCACCTCAAATGAATCTTTTGAGGAAAGGGAGCAGAAAGCTTTTGTTTCAAAGGAGAAAAGATCCCCTACAAAGAAGGGCACATGTGCCACTGCCTCAGATCACCTCAGAATCTTGCTGTCTTACCTATCTAGCTGAATATGTAGAGCTTTTTTTGTAAAGTTGCAAAGTTTCTCATTCTGTTGTCCCACATCTCCATCGACTGCACTCTCTCCTGCAACCAAACAGTAAAAATATTCCTAATGAGAGAATGTCCACAGAAAGCATTCTTTGCTTCAAAGCATAACCAGTTCTGACATGAACAACCAATTACATGTGAAGCACTCTCTGCACTTTTGCTAGTCTTAGCTAGAAAATACAATTACAGGTAACAATATAAAGCCTATCTAGCAACTTTTGAAGCTCTCAAAGGTACCTGTAGACACACCCATAATGGATGTAATAGTTTGCCTCAGGTCTCAGACAGGAACAGAACTGGGGTTAGATGCCAAAAATCAGGATTATTAATCCCTTTCTCCACCAGCTTTAAATGATGAAAAAAAGTAAAGCACCTTCACTGATCAGAAAATAAAAAAGCAGGCACTTCCAAAGCAAGAGATAATTTCAGTCATTGTTCTTGTTTTGATTGTTTGCTACAATCAAAATGGTACTGTTGTCACAATGAAGGAAATAATCCATGCATTGAAGTGTGGAGATAAATACAAATATTTTCCTAAGCTTGCCATATAAAGTAGCATCCCACACTTCATCTTACAGAGACGTATGCTCCAGTCTCCTGTCTGCTGACTTGAGGGTAATTTACAACTTCAGCAAGCTCAGTCCTTTTCCAAGTGGAGGATTACACATTACAAATCTCTGAAGGAAAGCACACGTCATAATTGGCAGCAGGAGATTTAACAACCATGAGGCTTAACTCCTTTCTGACTCAGCTGCAGCATGTGCTTGTCCTGCCCACAGCACTCGGTGATGCTCCTGCTCAGAGCACCCAGGGGATGGGAACTGCAGCGAGTCAGCTTCTCATGAGACCCCATAGAATTCCACACAAAAAAATTTTGCCACCACCCTGATTCAGCGACCTGAGACTGAAAATATAAACAAGGTGAATATCAATTGTCCCAAAGTTGTGGTGGTAGAAAAAAACCCCAACAAATTAATCCTTAAACACTGTCGCTGCTCCTGTGAGCAGGAGGCACTGAGCTCCCAAGCCAGCACAAAGCTCAGGGCTGAGGAGGAACTGGGAGCTTTCCCACCCCTGGGACACAGCTCAATGTGCTTTAGCTCCCAGAACTGAGCTCATGCTGAAAGAAAGTTAAAGTTGAGACATGAGAACAATGCAAGGAAACTGCCAACACACTCACAGCTCAGACATGCTCCCAGTAGGTTCTCCAGCCTGGGGAAAACAGGCAAGAGTGACATTCCTTTCTGCCGAGGTATTTAGCATCAGCAGTGTATAGTCTGGCCCTTACAGTAATATTCCATATGTCCATTTTTGTCTGCCTCATCTTCAGACTTTAGAGAAATTTTCCCCATGGAGTGGCCATTTTATTCCTCGTGTTCCCCGCCAACAGCAAACACAATCACACTCAGCAGGACAATGTGCTTATTTCAGCTGCTACTTCAGCAGGACAGACATCCTTACTTCACCAAAACAGACACTTTGCTATAGTGCTACCCAAAATGTATTTTATTGCAAAGCAGGCTGACATGCTTTCCTGTCTAGCCTGGAGAGGCAGTGAATGTCTCTACAGTGAAATAATTCTCAAATAGGTACTTCCTGCCCTTCAGGAGAGGATACACTGACATATGTACACCCTAGGACTGGAGTGAAATGTTGAAATACAGATCTGTAAGAGATAATAGCGATCAGATCTTTACTACATCTATCCAATTCTTAACATTTAGTCTGAGATAAGTCCAAAATGAGCTAAACACACTGATAATAATGGGAATATTCCAGACTTTTGACAGACCCACACTGGAAGGCAGAGCTAAGACTCAGCACCAGGTCCTGCCTCACCTTCCCGGAGCAGATCATCGGCTGTGCTGACTCCGTGCTCGATCAGTTTCTGGCACTCATCCAGGGGCTTGATGCTCTCTTGCTCTATGACATCCACTTCCTGCAGCAGGGACATCAGTCGCTCGTCCAGCAGCTTCTTTAGGGTCCCTTTCAAATCGCTAAAATGCTGCTCAAGCACATCTCTGGTCAATGTTGCACTATCTTTGATCTGGATTCAGGTAACAGGAAAGAAGGATTCAGGATAAAGGCAAAGGCCATGAACATTTTTTATTTTTCTGAAGCATCTCATCCACATTTGCTGGAGAAAAGCTGTGAGTGGAGTCTGCTTTAAAAAATGACCACTGGCAGTTAACAAATTAGTGAAGTCATTTTTAATACATGTACAGCTGGGAGGCAAAGAAACCAGCCTGGACGAGGGGAAGAGCATATTAACTAAGCAAAATACAACTTGGATTATGGGTGCTTCAGTCAAGGAATTTTTCTTGTCAGAAAAATCCAAATGCTCTGTAGATCTCCTCCCTGCTGCCCCTCAAAAATCCACTGCTGTAATCCTACTCAAAAACCACTCTGCCATCATACACAGATCCTCCTTCTTGCAAACAAAAACCTATCATTAGAAGACTATCTAGGAGCACTTTTGCAAGCCCTAACACTTCACTAGATTTTTAAAATCCTCATAAAACTACTTTCTTTTCAATTTCATTCAAACAGCCATCCTTGGACATCCGTGACAGGACAGGGTGAACAGCAAGTCTGTTTTGATTCCAGAAAAACCCAACCACAGAAGGTTCTACAAGTGCTCATTAAAATGTCTGCAAATTTGCTGAATCTGGCTTTTAGGGAAGAAAACACACTTGAACATCCCTGAGCTAAAGATGCAAAAATAAGAAGCAACCATTTCCTTGTAAACAACTTTTATAAGTCAAGCACACAAGGAAATGCTGCAACACACTCACGGCCTTAAACGTAATTTCTAGATCTTTAGAAGTACAGACAACCAACACAGGAAGTTCTCTGGTCAGGTAAAATAAATTTCCTTTCAACAAATATTCATGAAGCTCTGCAACTGCCACACAGCTCTGTTTCCCTTTTCTTGTAATTTCAATGCTTCGGGGAAAAAAAAAAAGGAAGTATTTAGCTTTGTGAAGGGGTGGGGCAAAGGAAGGCAGAACACTCACTTCTCCAAGCTCTTTACCTCCATTATGGGCAGATACAAATTCAGCATCTCAGCCCCAGAATTAGATACTGCTCACCATGCAAAAGAGGAAATGCAAGTCCCTGAACACACAGAGCTGTGTGAAGTTTGCAGAAAATCATGTCCCATTGGTCCCAAGGAAAAGGATGCAACACAAGTGATCCACTCCTATCACGTCAGCCAACCAGACCTCAAATAATAAAGCTGACACTATACGAACCCCAGTGTAGCACATTCAACACTTTGGGAACACAGGGAACTCTTGGATGTGCACAAAACAGCAAGTGGTCCTGAACGTGGAAAGAGAGAAAACAGAAACATGCACACAGCAAAGAAATTGCCCCCGAGAGGAAAGGGAAAGGTGAGCTAACTACACACTCACTGCACAAAGGCACATGGGCTGCCCCTCACTGCACTTGGAATTGCCAAGCGACACTTCAAGATGACAAGGTGTGGATGAAAGCCATGAACAATTCATTTTCTTAAGCAGCCTGTGGTTTCAATGCTGACTAATTAAACATCCAGTGATCACCCACATGTGCTGGGACCAGGACACTCACTCAGCAGATTTACAGGTTTCTGCACTAACGGGACCTGCTTCAGAAAAATTAACAGGTCACCACAGAAACATTCTCTAAGTTTGGTTTTGTTTTTATTTACCCCTTGCAGAGCTGAATTGAAGACAGCAAGGCATCACTTCCAGTCTGCAAACCCTCCTAAGCTGAGAGGCTGCCCGAGCAGAGGAGCCAGCCCTGCACTGTGGTTCTCCCAGCCCACACGTGCCTATCTCCTCCTGCATCTCCTGGTGGGTGGGTCACAGGCCCGGTGGAACTCTGCCCCAGCACAGACAAACCAGCTAACCTGGAATGCTGGCAGCCCTCCTGCCTGACCCACGGAGTACGTGACCCAGGCACTGTGGTGCATGGGGACAGCAGCCTTCAGCAGCATCCAAACCAGGGAGCAGCTTGCCCAGGCAGGCACCCGATGTGAAGATGGGGTAACGCTCCCTATTAAATCAGACTTAGCATCCCAGAAACTTTGGAAAACGTAGTTCTTTAAACCATTTATTCCTGCCTGGGAAAGTTCCCTACGGTCCCAGAAAATGAGGCTCGGCTCAGTAACAGACTTCAGCTCGCATCCCTTTCCTCCGACACGTCACACATCTGCCCATTCCCACGCCCTCCATCTCCGGCACCTCCCGAGGCCGGTCCAGGGCTCTCATCACACCCGGTCCGCCGGGGCTCCCCGTCCTCCACCCTCCCCACACCTGAGCCCCATCCCGGCTCTACCGGGATGAACAAACGCCAGGCCCCGGGAGAGGAGCGGCCGGGACCCGCCGCCGCCTCAGCGGGGTCCCCTGTGCCGGCCACCCCCACCGGGCCCACCT